CTGATGGCATCCTTGATTTGAACCCCAATTTCATGGAGGTCCTTAAAGTTGAATATTATTTTCTGCAATATCTTAGCTTGCCTAGCCATATCTTACTGCAACAAACCTATTGATTGCTAAAGACGGATCAGTAAATCCTCTAGATTTGTCGGAGGCTGAGCCATGATAGGGGTAGATGGTCGTGCTTTGAGCAGAGGTGATCTAGCTGGTAAATGTCGGAACAGTGGAACTGGTGAACCCTGCCTGGCCCTCCTTCGTCTCGCCACCGACAAAAGTGAAGCAAACACTAACTGCCTCTAAACAAAATTTCTGACCTGACAAAGTCTATGGACACGAGTCCAGCATAGAAAAAAGAAGAAAGAGGTGGTGACAATGGTGAAGGGATGGGGAGCCCACTGCTTCTCTAGGTATTGTTTCCCACCATTTTTTTTTTATTTATTTGTGGCTCTCACATCACTTTGACACTCAATCTCTTTTTCTCTGAAAAGCCCTTTTCTTACTTTTTCTCTTAGTGCACATCTCTCTATTCTTTAATCTCTCTTATTTTTTTATTTATCCCTTCCCAGGTGTGGTTGATGGATAAGTTGGAAGTTGTGAACCCTATGAGGGGATCGAATATCCAGCGTTATTTCTAGTCCGTGCTTCACACTTGGCTCGATACCTCACTGCTTGGAGGATGAGAGAGTTTTTGGCCCCTGCGGCTAGCTTCAGTTATGCCTTTTCTGGCGGGTGCAATGACAATGGGAAAAAGACAGAAAATCTAACTCGACTATGTCCCTAGTTCATTACTTTGACCATTTTTTGTTTTTAGCTTTCTACTAAAATAATTTTATTTCACATCATGAAGTTCGAGTCAAGTTCTCAATCCCTAGCAGAGTCGCCAAAAACTGTAGCTTAATTTTTGTGCTCCTTTCGGAAGACGATAAGCCCTACAGTTCGGACTCTTGCAATTCTGAATCTGATCTCACAAGTGCAATGTGAAATAGATAGACACCAAAGAGTCCAAATCTGGCAAATCTTTTGAAAAATCAATTTTGAATCAAAATACCAAAAATGGACTGCTTTGCCAAATACAGAGTCGCCACCTAAATTTTCCCCCATGACTCGTGCCAAAGGCCACGTGTCCATCATTACTAAGATTGTCTCGGCTCGAGAACTTAGGTAAGAGAGGGAAAGATCATGAATTGAGCACCCCCCCCTCGCCTGATCAAAGACCGGCCTCTACTAATCATGATGTGAATCTTATTTACATTATATGCTCTTGTTTCGATTATTAGACTAGCATTACTATGTGATGTACACACAAGTATAGACTAATTTGCAAAAATTAGAACATTTGATTCATGTTTATTTTCAAAATTGTTTCGAATATGTACCACTTGAAAAAGTGATTGCATATGTACATTACTCAAATTATTCTAATTCAAGCAAATAGCCTTCATCTACAGGCATTCAAATAGTTTATCACTTAAGTAATTAGCCTCATGGAAAGTATGCTAGACATGGCAACGCTCACATGCATGCGATATGCTAAAGAGAATAAAAGCTTACCTAGTACTCCAAGCCAAAAAATATGACAAAGTTAGAATAATGTATGATCCCAACTATGCAATATGACTAATGCAACGCATATGATATGCAATTACTAAGCTCGGCTACTAATATGGCATATGATCAATTTGATAGCATGTGGTCTAAGCACGTATTCAAAGGAGTATTAACTAACAATAAAAGTTAGAATGGTGAACCGAGCTCCATGCATGCAAGACAATGGATGCAAGGCATGAGAGATGCTAAACTAAACATGATGCCCTATACTAACCATCATAAGCAGGTAAATAAAAGGGAGAAAGACGTGGGGCTGGAAGACATACACATTATTACAACTGTGCCCTCGTGCATGAGGGTCCGAATAAACTAACTAGCTAAGATAATTACTACAAATTAAACTATACTAGCTTAATTATTACAACAACAAATTAAAGAAATAGTCTAGCTAACTAATTATTTACAACACTTTACAAAATTAACTAGCTACAACAAATATCTAAGCTAAGTAATCAGATTAAACAGCCTTGAGAAGCGAGGAGTGCTTATGCATGCGCATGGATTTCCACCCAAAAAAACCACTATTCTACTGCTAGGAAGCCTCTGTTGTACAGTTAGAACACCTACACTGTTCTTCAACTCAAAACTAGCTCTGTTCCATTTCAGAAAGCCACTGCTAGGTTTTGCGAAGGTGGCCGGCAGGCCAAAAGTGGTGGCATGCCGTCAGCAAACAGAGCAAAACCAAGGTATTCTCAAAGGTTATTTATATATCTTACCCCTCCTTATCATCAAACAACTCAAAGGAATGGTAAATTTGATTCACAAACCATCAATCGATGCAATTTCATTACATGATGGCCTATGAACCAAAGGGTACAATTTCAATAAATGCAACAAATAAAGACTCTTAAACCCCCTCCCTATTATGAATTGATCAAGGGAAATGGTTGACAATGACTCTTGAACCGTTTACATCACTAACAAGTATGAAACGATCCAAGACTCAAGGGTTCAATTAACGTCCGATTTAACCCTAACCAAGTTATTATCTTGCATCACTTTTAGTCTCAATTTTATTACTTCATTTTAATTACCAACCATTCTTTAACCAATTGAGTCCAAAAGTGAAGATTAAGTCCTCTAATGGAAAGGAGTAACAAGCAAAGAGTTGTTTTGGGCATGAGAGAGACATCACGCCGTTGGTAATGAACGCCCAAAGGGATTAAACCATTAAGCACAACACCTCAATCTCATGCTTAAACAAACACTTGGTTTGAAACAACTTTCAAAGCAAAGCAAAAACCAAGAAATGAGAGAGGTTACAAAGGTGATTAAAGCTGATCACAAGTATGGAAAGCCATAAACAAATGCTATCAACTCAAATAGGTTGGTGGCTAAGGCCTAAACCACCAAATCTATGAGGACCATTATACTACAAGCATGCTATTCAAAGCATAAATGAAGTAAACACACTAAAACAGTCCTAAAATGAGCTAAAACAATGCTAGAATTGAGGTTAAAAAAAAGCTAAAAGAGTAAGCTAAAATAATAGGAAATTTAAGCAAGTAAACAAGCCAAAGGAGGGGTGGCTAACCCCTCCATTTTTGGGACTTCAAAACCAAATTTTTAGCCTCTAAAAATCTTTGAAAATCAGTGGTAAAAAGCTCAAAAAAAGTTGGTGAAGATATGGAAAACACGAGGGCAAAAGCTTAGGAGAGAAGGTTCAAAGAAGGGTGATTAACCCCTCTACCTTTGGTAGGTTTAAACCACAAGTTTTAGCCCATAAAAATAGTCCAAATGGTAGGTTTAAACCACAAGTTTCAGCCCATAAAAATAGTCCAAAAATAGTTGAAAAATAGTAAGAAAATATAGGAAAGAAATAGTGTAGAGATGCCCAAAATTATATCTCTTGAAGCAAGGCAACACTTTTGTTCACAAACCACAAAGCTTACACTCTCAAGAGCTGAAATTTGGACTCAATAATATCAGCAAGGAGAGCTCCAATATTGGTTTAGGAAGTGTTTGGGTAAGGTGTGTGTGTTGCAAGATAGAGATAGAGAGAGAATTTCAAGTTTTTGGGCTTAAGGAATTTTTTTGTAACCTTAAACCATAAGGGAAGGTCATAGAAAAACAACCTCTCAGGTTGAAAATATCTATATAGGAACAGCTAGAGCTTTTGGGGGACAGCTAGCCAAAAATATCTGGGGTTTACACAAGTGGCCGGCATGCCAGAAGTGGTGGCTGGCAGGCCACTAATAGTGGACAGCCGTCCACAAATAGTGGGTTGCCGGCCACAAAAATCTGCTTCCAAGCCTGACTTCAAACGGGCATATCTCCTTCATACGAACTTCGGTTTAGGTCATTCTTAAGTCTAAATCTAATCCCCGAAAGTCTACTTTCCAATGAAGGTGGCCTCACACCTAAATTCTAAGTGTGCAAAGAGATATGCGTATTTTAGTGAAGGTTACTCATTTCTATCTTAATCGAATTGATGCCTAACTCAAATGGCCATATCTCCCTCATCTGGACTCGGATTTAGGAAATTCTTGGGTCTAAATTGAAGCCTCGAAAGTCCAATTTCCAATGGTTCTGGCCTCATAACTAAAGTCTAAGTGTACAAAGAGCTAGGCCTGATTTTGTGAAAGCTGCTCAGTTCTCTCTTAAAGGTTTCATGCTCAACCATTCTCTGAACTAGTTTTCTTTCCTTCCCTTTTATTTTATCCAACTCTAAACCTATAAATAAGATGTTTTTAAAAAAAATTCAAAGAGCTCACCTCTCTTCCATTTATTTCCATATTGTCCTTTGTAACGACCCAATCTTGGCAAGGCAAAACCCTGCCAAGAGGGTGCACCTCAAACGCTATAGCACCTTTACACCACAATTCCTGTATAATTCTTACATCACATCACCGCATCACCAAAAGTGCATAAGACCTTTCAATTTCCTAACATATATGAGATGATCTATTCAAAGACAAAAAAAGTATTATCATGCTACAAGATAGTTCCCAAGCATTTCCTCCCAAAAAAAAAAATATAATACATACTAATCACGAATCCATCAATACATCCAACTTCATAAGCAATATTTACAATCAACCTCCTTCATAAAAAAAAGGGTAAGCTTACATCCTAGAATGACCCTAAGCAAAACCTCAACCACAAGATGCCCACCTATGATCCTTCAAAAAAATTCTAGTCTCCCAAGTTGAGGCGAGCCACACAAAAGTCTATGAATCTGAAAAAAAAAAAATTTATTGAATGAGCTAAAGCCCAATGAGTATACCAATACCATGGAGTTATAAAACTTGCTCCTACCAATAGGGTTCAAAATAAAGATACTAAACATAAGAGCTTAATTGGACTTAAATTTATACAAAATAAAAATAAAAATGATGAAATACAATTTTCATAAAACGTTATAAAGATTTTTCCAAGGAATCTCATAAGGCTCCAAGTTGAGGCGAGCCACACAAAAGTCTATGAATCTGAAAAAAAAAAAAATTTATTTAAAAGAATGAGCTAAAGCCCAATGAGTATACCAATACCATGGAGTTATAAAACTTGCTCCTACCAATAGGGTTCAAAATAAAGATACTAAACATAAGACCTTAATTGGACTTAAATTTATACAAAATAAAAATAAAAATGATGAAATACAATTTTCATAAAACGTTATCAAGATTTTTCCAAGGAATCTCATAAGGCAGAAAAAAATACATTTGGATAATGAAAGTAAACAAAAATATAACTTTTCAATACATTAAGATTTCCTGTCCATCATACAATCCACTACATAGCCTTAGGGTCGCGTTACCTCGCGAATTAGGTGGTGACGGTACCGTTACCCAAAACATAACTATAGGAACATAGCTCATGTCATCGTAGCACTTCAATTCTTGTTTCAATGTTTCGGTCCCCGGGACCCCTTATACATACAACGACCCTAATGGTCCTTAAAACATTTCGGTCCCCAGGACCCCAAAGCATTTTGGCCCTTGTGGCCCCAAAGGCTATATTCGGTTATATGATCAATAAAATAAATACCCTCACATAACATTTCACTGTCATTCAATCATCATCGTCATAAAATTTGAAAGACTCAACTTAAATAAATTCTCATAAAAAAATTAATGCTTCATTATACAAATGAAATCATATCGTTATTAAAACTCAACCCTTGGCCTCAATAAATTTATAGATTTTCTTTTTATACATATATCATGATGAAATGTATCATTCACTTTCTTTAATTCAAAAATTATTTTCAAACTTTGTAATAAAGATAGAGGTAAGGTAATTTCCATGTTAAGTATACTCACCTCCAAAAATAACAAAAGTGTAGATTTGAAACTCTACAAATTAATTTCCAAGAGGTGTAGAGATGCCTTCCTCCAATCCTAACAATTAGTAAATAGGATCTCAAATTAGGAAAAGCTTTCAATGAAAATTACAACATCTACAAAAATGATCCTAAATAAAATTATGCTAAGGAATGGCAAGCTAAAGAACTCCTCCAACTTTAAGTCACCCAAACAAATAACTTATCCAATCTCCATAACACCCATCCTTTGAACATCTTTGAGTTAGTAACTTTTTAAATATCCAATCAATTTATATGCACAATACCACCATCAATTTACTACAAAAGTAAAAAATCAACATTTTTGTACAAACTCAACAACTTAAGTAAAATCTCTTCAATCACTTATAAAATTCCTCCATAGAACATAGAGATACCCAATCCACCATTTATCAAATCAATTTCAACATATAAATTCCCTAACACCAAAATTCCCAATTTTTACATCACATTCAAACCCTAGATTAACCCAAATCTTAATCTCCAAATCAACCATCAAATTGACCAAATTTTTTTTTTTAACATGTAAAACATTCATGGAAACTAATTGAGAGTATAAAATTCAACAATCAAACCCCAAATCATTATAGATCTAAAACACAAAAATTTCATCATCTCTAGCTCAAAATATATAAAACCTTAAACTAAACTTTTAGAGAAAGATTCTTACCAATTACAAGCCTCTAATCCATCAAGAAAATAAATCCCATGCTTTGATTCTTCAAAAGATTAAGAAAAATCTAGAGTTGGTGCTTCTAATGTGTTATTTTCGGATGGATTTAAGGAGTGGCCGACCGGACCCTTTTTCCGATGAGATAAGGTGGCCGGAGGTGGTGGAGATGGTGGGTTAAGGTGGTGGTGTAAGGGTGGAGCAAAGGTGTGGTGTTTGGCCTCCAAGAAAGTAAAGGAAAATGAGAGAGAAAGTAGAGAGAAGTTAGAGAATGAAGAATGAAGAAAAAAAATCTGCACTTCTAATTTTTTTTGTGTTGAAATGGGGTGTTTGGTTACACCTACCATCAAGTTTGGAGTTGGGTTTAGATATCCTAAATGGAGTTTAACATAGGGGTGTGTTTGGCTCTAGATGAAAAGTTGGGAATATTATAATTCTACCCCCCTAAAGGAAAATTTCGTCCACGAAATTTATTCATTTGTTTAGTCTAGTTCATACCTTGAAAAATATGTGGATATCGAATTTTCATATCATCCTCCCGCTCCCAAGTAGCTTCCTCCAAAGCATGATTTTTCCACAATACCTTTACTAGTGGTATGGTCTTGGAACGTAGTACTTGATCCTTCATGTCCACAATCTGTATGGCTTCCTCTTCATAAGACAAATCATCCTTGAGTTGGATTGGCTGGAAATCTAACACGTGTGATGGGTCAAGCATGTACTTCTTCAACGTAGATACATGAAACACATTGTGAATGCGAGATAGACTAGGTGGTAAGGCCAAACGATAAGCAGTCTTGCCAATGCGCTCTAGTATCTCAAATGGCCCAATATACCTTGGACTTAGTTTGCCTTTCTTACCAAATCGCATCACTCCCTTCCATGGCGAGATTCGTAAAAATGCATGATCTCCCACTTGAAATTCCAAATCCCTCCTCCGATTATCTACATAGCTCTTTTGTCTACTTTGAGCCGCCTTCAACCTTTCTCGAATAATATGCACTTTATTGGTAGTAATTTGAACAATCTCTGGCCCTAACAATTTTCTCTCTCCAACCTCATCACAACATACTGGAGTTCTACATCTTCGCCCATATAAAGCTTCATAGGGAGCCATCCCAATACTTGATTGATAACTATTATTATATGCAAATTCTATTAAGGTCAAGTGTTCATCCCAACTACCTCGAAAATTTAGGACACAAGCTCTCAACATGTCTTCTAAAGTTTGAATTGTCCTCTCGGATTGCCCGTCGGTTTGGGGGTGAAAAGCTGTACTGAATCTCAGTTTAGTACCCAAGGCATTTTGAAGACTAGGCCAAAAGTGGGATGTGAAACGCGAGTCTCTGTCTGAAACAATAGATACCGGCACACCATGCAATCTCACAATTTCATCCACATAAATTTTTGCTAATCGATCAAGTGGAAAGTTTTTCTTAGTAGCCAAAAAGTGTGCAGATTTGGTCAACCTATCTACAACAACCCAAATAGAGTCATGCCCCTTCTGTGTGCGTGGCAGGCTCGAAACAAAATCCATGGCGATATGCTCCCATTTCCATTCAGGAAGAGGCTGAAGTAAACCAGCTGGGCGTTGATGCTCTATTTTAATCTGCTGACATACCAAACACCTTGACACAAATTCTGCTTTCTCTCTCTTCATATTTGGCCACCAATAACTTTCTCTTAAATTTTGATACATCTTTGTACTCCCCGGATGCATTGCATAAGGTGAATTATGGGCCTCATCTAATATCTCCCTTTTTATCTCGGGCTCATTTGGAACACATAACCGATTTTTAAACATCAACACACCATCTTCTTTAATAATAAAGTCTGACAGAGTACCATCTTTCACTCGAGCTCAGGTCTTCTCCAAAATTGAGTCTTTCCCTTGGGCTTCTCGAATGCGATCCACTAACAAAGGTCTCACTTTAATTGTAGCTAACAAGGATCCCGACTTCCCAACTGCTAGATCAACTCCAATAGATTTTATTTCATGTAAGAGACTAAATTGAATGCCCTGAATGTGAGTTAATTTCCCTGTAGATTTTCGGCTAAGAGCATCGGCCACCAAATTAGCTTTTCCTGGGTGATAATTAATGGTGCAGTCATAGTCCTTAATCAGTTCAACCCATCTCTTTTGCCTCAAATTTAAATCCCTCTGTGTGAATAAATATTTCAAACTCTTATGATCAGTATATATCTCACATTTTTCCCCGTATAAATAATGTCTCCACAACTTTAAAGCAAAAACAACCACTGTGAGCTCTAAATCATGGGTGGGATAATTGCGTTCATGGTTCTTCAATTGTCTAGATGCATAGGCCACTACCTTTCCATGTTGCATCAACACACAACCGAGCCCTTGATGAGAGGCATCACTATAAACAATAAATCCTTCACCACTTAACGGAATAGTAAGCACTGGGGCAGAAGTTAATCGCTTCTTTAATCCTTGAAAACTCTTTTCACAATTCTCCGTCCACTCAAATTTGGTATTCTTACGGGTCAAATGTGTTAATGGTGCCGCAATCAATGAAAACCCCTCTACAAATCTACGATAGTAGCCTGCCAACCCTAAAAAGCTCCTCACCTCGGTCACGTTAGTAGGACGATCCCAATTCACCACAGCCTCTTTTTTCTTCGGATCCACAAAAATACCTTCACCCGAAATCACATGCCCCAAAAATACGACACGATCTAACCAAAACTCACATTTGCTAAACTTCGCATACAACTTCTTTTCTCGTAAAGTTTGCAATACCACCCGCAAGTGTTGTTGATGATCCTCTTGACTCCTGGAATAAACAAGTATGTCATCAATAAATACAATCACAAATTGGTCAAGGTATGGTTGGAACACTCTATTCATAAGGTCCATAAATGCAGCGGGGGCATTAGTTAGACCAAAAGGCATAACAAGAAATTCATAATGGCCGTAGCGAGTTCGAAAAGCAGTTTTCGGTATGTCTTCTTCCTTAATCTTAAGTTGGTGATACCCTGATCTAAGATCGATTTTGGAGAACACACATGCTCCCTGAAGTTGATCAAACAAATCATCTATACGAGGCAAAGGATACTTATTACGCACCGTGACCTTATTCAACTGTCGATAGTCAATGCACAATCTCATGGTGCCATCTTTTTTCTTCACAAAAAACACAGGTGATCCCCAAGGTGAGACACTTGGCCTAATGAAGCCTTTATCCAATAACTCTTGCAATTGTATCTTAAGTTCCTTAAGTTCCATTGGGGCCATACGGTAAGGTGCACTAGAAATTGGGGCAGTTCCAGGAATTGAGTCAATATCAAACTCAATTTCTCGATCTGGGGGTAATCCAGGTAGTTCATCAGGAAGAACATCTATGAAGTCACACACAATTGGTATATCCTCCAATCTTGGACCACTCAATTCGGAGTAAATCACATAGGCTAAGTATCCTTGGCATCCCTTCTTAAGCATTTTTCTAGCGGTAATAGCAGAAATAACATAAGATGGGGACGTACATCGATCTCCACAAAATCTAAATTCAGGTTCCCCAAAATTGGAAAATACTACCTCTTTCCTATAACAATCCACCGAACCATGGTAAGAAGCCAACCAATACATTCCCAAAATCAAATCAAAATCAAGCATCTCTAAAGGCAATAAATCTGCTACCATCTCCCTATCTCCCAACTGTAATACACAACCTCGATATACCTCCTCAATTATAACACAATCCCCAATAGGAGTAGTAATGGATAAGCAATAGCTTAGAGGTGCAATAGGTTTATCAGCATGCAAAGAAAATGATAGAGATACAAAAGAATGTGTAGAACCCGGATCAACAAGTACATGTGCCTCCCTACTGAACACATAAATAATACCTGTTACCACCTCCGGATTAGCCTGAGCATCCCGCTGAGTCAAAGCAAAAACTCTTCCCTGCGAGGTTTGTCTATCGGATTGAACACCTCCTTTATTCTGCTTGCCAAACCTAGTCCCAACCTGACCTCCTCCTCGGCTTCCCCCTCGGCCAGTACCTGAAATTTTATTACTACGAACTCCAATACTAGCAGATGAAGCAGTTCATGTGCAATCTCTAGCCAAATGTCCGGGTTGTCCGCAATTGAAGCAAGCTCGTGTATCTCCCAAATTAGTCATTTTAGGAACTGTGCAATCTTTCACCAAATGACCCTTCTGGCCACAACGAAAACACAAGTCGGTACCAGCATGACAAACACCTGTATGTGCCCGCTCACATTGCTTGCAAACACTTCAAGTAAACTGAGATGATGGCCCACTAGACTGTCCATGACGCTGATTAGAAATGCTTTGGGTTAGGGTGGGATGTTCTCTATTTTTTTGATATGCACTAGAGCTCTTGACTGAACCATAACCATGACCACCTCTCTTTGACGGTCTATTAGATGTGTTCTCATGATGGGATGAACTAAGGTGGCGCTTCTTCTGTTGTTCCGCTAACTTCATTTCTATGACATCTTTCTCAGCTGTTAAGGCTTTATCAACCAAGGTCGAATAGTTAGTTATTCCCAATACTTGGATACGAGATTTGATGTCCAAATCCAACCAATCTGTAAAACGGCGACATTTGACCTCCTCATCATCCACAAACGAAGGGGCAAAACGAGATAAAGAAATGAACTTAGCTTCATATTGAGCTACAGTCAAATCCCCTTTCTCTAGCAGAAGGAACTCTCTCTCTTTTTCATACCGATAGGTAACTGGAAAGTACTTGTCATTGAAAACCTTAGTGAATTGGTTCCAGGTCAATCCTCAAGTGCCACTTGCCGTAAGTAGGCGTTGCGTGGCCTCCCATCAATATTCAGCCTCCTCCACCAGCATAAAACTAGCAAGTGCAACTCGCTGCTCGTTTGATACTTCCATCACAGAAAATATCTGCTCTACCCTCCTTAACCAGGCATGTGCCTCCATAGGATTGGGTGATCCAGAAAATACTGGAGCCCCTAACTTCTTGAACCTCTCAATTGCGGTGAGGCGATTCTCTATAGGTTGCACAAATGGCCTAGACTGTGCTGCATTCTGTTGTTCAAGGATGTGAGTCTGCCTCTCCGCTAGGCTAGCCATTGACTCTAAAAGGCGCTGCACACTAGGGTCTAAAAATGCTGGAGCTGCGTCAGCCCTTGGTGGTACAACTCTATCTGAATGTCCCACTTCTGGATTGGCACTTGACTCTTGAGTTTGCTCATTATGCGATTCATGTTCAATCTCTTCTTCCTGAACCCGAGGTGGAACTTCATTTCCAACACTAAGATGTGGCTCTCGCTCAGCCTCAAGTACTTCCATAAGGGGGCGACTCTTATGAACTCTTCGCCTTGCCATACGCGCCTGTATAACAAGACAATTAAAACTTAGAATACTAGATCGCTATTAAACATCATCACTAATCGAATTACTAACTACAATACCCTATCAACTTTAATTCTAAAATAACTAGTCTACAGATTCATAACCAAATGCTCTGATACCAAAAATGTAACGACCCAATCTTGGCAAGGCAAAACCCTGCCAAGAGGGTGCACCTCAAACGCTATAGCACCTTTACACCACAATT